TGAATTTGCTGTTCAGTTCCTTGAGCTTAAGATATGCTGAGCGAGTTCGGCCCTTTTGATTTTCTGACTCCAACTCCTTGCACATTTGATTGTAATATTTTGCTTTGTCATCCTGTGCTGCCTTTTGAAATCTTCTATTCAACTCTTTAGTGACTTGAATTCTTCCCTGTGCTTTAAGTATATGAGAATATATTTCATTTGTATGCTTCTAATTACACTTACGGTTTGGGTGTTTTATTTGGATGCTTACAATAGTATTTCTAGAGTTTTAAAAGATGAAATACTTCCTCTTCCCCTTAAACACCCTACATACTTTAAATGTAAGCTCTTTAATAACTATATTAACTAGGAAAAAAAGAAGGATGCGTAAATGAAAGTCACAAATAATTTCAAATTATTCCAATTACTCCTTAATTTGTTCTGTTAAATCATGCCCAAAGAGATCCATGTTTATGTCAATTACCTCTCCATATAAAGCACCAAGGAGCCTGGTGGTCTAGCATGTAGTGTTGCCTGCTAACTCAAAAGCTGTGCCTCTCTGACAGCTTGAATCCACCAAGAGCTTCACTAGAGAAAGATGAGCAATCTCTTCCTGTTTAATTCATAGCTTCAGAAACCCACTATAGGGTTAGTTATGTGTCAGCTGACAGCAATGATCTTGAGGTGGTTTTTTTTTTTTTTTTGCTTTTGTTGTTTTGCTTTTTTTAAAAACGTATCTTGAATCTTTAATTTCACCTAAGTTTGAAAGGTTGAAAGCCTTCTGACAAGTTTTCATTGAAGCTCTCAAAAACTATTTATCTAGGTGGAACTACTGATTTTCAATTTCATGGCTTGGTCAGCATGATTGAATCTGACAAGAAAAGCAGAGTCGGCGTGCAGTTGTTGAGGGAACATGTGAAGTAGACATGTGGAGGTCGGAGGTTTCTCTAAGTAGCCTGCATCTTAGAGCTGACTGATGGGTTAAAAATCATAGCTCTGTTAGGTAATCTTTGTTCTTTAATCAGGTACTATCAAGTTTTGGGAGGTACCAGATTACAACTCATTGTGATTCCACATGTGTCAGAGTACAGCTGTGCTCCACAGGATTTCCGAAGGCTGATGTTTCAGAGCCAGATGATCAGGCTTTTCGTTACAAGTGTCTCTGTATAAACTTGAACTTTGAATCATTTACTGAATCATTTGTGCCACCCAGAGACTCCATCTGTCCCTCAATCTTCTTCTAAAGACAAGCCAATAGGACTAACTGAAATTTAGAGAAATATTTGAGGACTAGGGAGAAAATCATAAACATATACAACTTTTTCAAATAGGTACATTTGTTGAAATTGTTGTTGTTGCTATGTATCATTGAGTTGGAACCAACCCATAGCTGATTTTCCAGTGGGTTTTTAGAGAGAATAAATTGTACAAGGAAAATATTGCCCATCTTTCCTCTGTGAGTAACTGGTGGATTCAAACCACATGAATTCAGGTTGGCAGTGCAGTTTCTTAACAATAGGCCACCCGAGTTTGCTTGTTGAAATATTTGTCTCAAGGAATCAAGCAAACATGGTAATCCTTAAAATTGGCTGTGATTTCCTTTCCTTTTCACACTGGTTCCTTTAGTTTCTCCTTTGCATTCTTTAGAAAAGACTTTTCTTAAATGAAAAAAAAGAAAGAAAGAAAGAAAGAAAACAATTAATGAATGTTTATTTTCTTAACCTTGGAACCGTGGACAGGTCTACCAGAATCTGGAAATATCACAGGAAACCATGTTCTGTTAAAAGCCCATTTTCCAAACAAAATATATTATGGGTTAAATGGTACAAGGAATGAAAGAATACTTCAGATTTTTGAAACATACCAAAGTTATTATTCAACAATTTTGGTATTGGCAGAATTGTCTATGTGCCATTTTCCAAGTATTTATCCCCTCAAAACATAGACATGTGAGAAAAGTTTGAAATTTTGTCTGGTTTTTAGTTTAGATTTTCTAATCAAAGTCATATGAAAGGTAGTTTTGAGAAACCATAACGGTAAGGAATTGTGCTGCCAACCTAAAAGTACATAGTTAAACCCACGAGCTGCTCTGTGGGAAGAAGAGGGGAAATCTCCCATGGGATTTACTGCCTCTGAAAACCTACCGGAGGGTCAGCTATGTGTTGGTTCCAACTCAACGGTATACAACACCACCACCAAGAACAAGAAATATTTTAAAGGTCTTTTAAAAAGTTTTATTTGGGTAAGTAAAAATAATATTCTAGAAATTTATACATATATGTCATAAGAGCACATGAAGAGGTGCATACTAAAATTATAATGGAATATTACTGAACTAGAATGCCTCCTATAGGATAATCAGAAAAGATGGAAAAAGATTGAATTGTCAATGACTTGACTTTACTTGGATCCATGGGTACTTTTTCAGTACCCACGGTAACAACAACCCAGAAATCAAAAGACCTGGAAAGAACCTATGAAAATGCTGAAGAGTAAGGATGTCAGTTTAAAGATTAAAATGTGCCTGATCCAAGCCATGGTCTTTTTAATTGTTTCTTATGCATATGAAAGCTGGACAACGAATTATAATTTGATATTGTCAGCATTTTTCATTTTGGCCATTCTGTTATTGTTGTTGCTAACAATATAAAATTATGAGGGCATGAGACAGGCAGAACTCTAGTGCATTACTTGTCAGAATAAATGGAAAAGCTACCAAAAAAAAAAAAGATCAAACATACACATCTTCCCTGTGATGGCAAACTTCACTTCCAGGTACCAAGAGAAAGTAACCGTATGTCCACATAACGTTTTATTAAAAAATGTTTATAGCATCTATAACAATAAAAGATTTAAACAGAATAGAGTTTTGTTGTTCAGCAACGGAAGGAAGTTTAATCAAAGTCTGGCATACTAAAATAATGAAATGCTGCTCAGGAATATAAAGGATCTCTGGTGGCCTAGTGAGAAGGGAGTTGCACTGCAAACCCAAAAATGAAATTATAGAGTAGGTAAAAATAATCATGCTAATCTTCTCTGCATCATTTCAATTTTTTTTTTTGGATATGGGCTGCTGAAGCGAGCACAGTAGGTAAAATCAATCAATAGTGGCATTCAATTAGTGACTTTCTGAGATGATAAGGGACTTTCTGAGATGATAAAAATGTTCTCTTGATGAAGTGTAGGTTACAGGGATACATGCATTTGTCAAAAATCATCAAACTATACGCTTAGGTTCTGTATATTTTGTGAAATAAAAATTATCCCTCAGTAAAACATGTAATAAAAAGAACAAAAAATTTGAAGAAAAAAACCTCAAAATAATTAAAAATAACTGCTTTAAATAATTAAAATAAAACTTTTTAAAGATAATGTATGGCTTGCAGAGTGAATATTTTGAGGACTTGTCTAGATGCAATTTTGGATTTTCAAGCTAATCTAAGCACATTTTTACGATCAATAAACACTATTTTACAACCTATTTAGGAATATGGTTTATGATTTTGCACTGTGGTGAGCACATAACTGGAGCCAAAACCATGAGCTAGATGAATGAATGGCAATAATTTTAAAATAAACTTAGATTGTTCTTACTTTGTGCCACCAAAGAAGATGGCCATTCATAGCTTTGCTGCCATGTTTTTCTTCTGCCTACAATTTCCCTGGCATGTCTCTCTCCAGGTTTTCAAACCAATCATTTTCAAACTTGATGACATCAGGACACCTGGATGGCATGACTCTACCTTTAGAGTTGTCGACTTAGTAGGTCTAAAGTAGAGCCCCAAATCACCTTTCGGTGATAAGTTCCTATGACGCTGATGCTGGTGTTGTGTAGTTTGGGACCACACTTTGAGGATTACTGTTAAACATTTCAAATGTCAGATCAAAGCTCTATCTTTCTGCAATCAAAGATCACCTTTTCTACTTTTCCCCAGCCTTTCCTAACGGCCTTCAAGCTCCCACCCTTAGTAATGATTACACTTATTATTACTATTCGATTATTCTCCTTTGTAACTTCTTTTGAGGAAAAAAGAATTGATATTTTACATATGTCCTTTTGGGGTAGTTGATAACTCCTTCAGAATTATTCATCCTGACTTATGTACCTTTGTTCTTCTCACACCTAGAAGGTTGTAAAGCCCAGGTGTCCAGTGAATGCTGATGCTCCTGATACCTGTAAGTGTTTCAAAGACATGCACCAAAAAACCCAACAAACTCCATTGCCAAATAATTATGTCTAACTCATGATTATCCTCCATCAAGGTTTCCAAGGCTGTAAATCTTTGCCAAAGAAAGTGCCTATCTTTCTCGCCATGAGTGGCTGATGTACTTGAACTGTTGAACTTTCAGTTAATAGTGAAACACATAAGGTACTATTCTACCTTAAGCCATATATGTTGTTGTTGTTGTTGTTATGTGTTGTCAAGTCACTTGCGACTCATAGTGACCCTAGGTACAACAGCCCTAAATTCTGCTCTATCCTGTGCCAATCACACTGTCTCTGATACACCCATCCCGATTACCCCAGTCACTGAATCAATCCACCTCATAGAAGGCCTTCCCCTCCTGCTCTTCCCCTCCACCCTCCCAAGCATGATGCCCCTCGAAACCATTAAACACAAGTTCCATTTTCAGATGGAAAGCATCATCTTCAGTTGTGGTGAATTACCTGTCATTGGGACAGTGACTCGGCAGTGTCCAGTCATGATGTGGGTTGATGAGGAAGCCCCAGGACAGAAAGACAGAACTTGGGGTCAGACTCCCAATCACCAATTGAAGAGGTTTGCGAGTGCGTGTTTTACCTACAGAGGAAATACACAGGGTTAAACCCTAAACATTCACAAAAAAATATTTCCTAATTTACATAAAGTTTGCATAAACATGACTTAGTAATGTGATAAGAAGTTTGAAGACAAATCTCTTTGTTTATATGGTTTAAAAATATTGTTTACATTTAATGCAACCCCAATACAAATACCAACCCCATTCTTCAACGAGATGGAAAAGGCAATCTCCAATTTCGTATGGAATGGAAAAAAGTCCCAAATAAGCAAAGCAC